TTTGGTGAAAATATATATATATATATATATAAAAATATACACACATACAGAGATACATATAAACCCAGGGTCAGCCTGGACACCTCCTACATGGTCCCACTGATGGCCATATTGGAAATGGACCCACATTAAAATATTCCCAAGAGCAGAGAAATAGGGTGGGACATCAGGATGTGTCTGTTCCAAGCTGCTGCTCCAAGCTGGAGCTGTGGAAGGATGCTTATGTCCTATGTCCTAGAGTACCAGCAAGGATGGGGATCCCACAGCCTCCCTAGCATGTCCCAAGGCTGTACCACCCTCTGAATTTGCCTGAGAATTACAGGGGGATGGATCCCTATGACTTATGCTGCCTGTCCCCACAGCAAAGCAGTTTTAAAAGCTGCTGCATGTAACAGCACAGTGAGAACAGGAAGGATGTAGTGTCAGAGAGGACACCATGGGATGAGGACACTATGGACCCTGATTTGGGACTTGTCTCAGCATTTGCAGGGAGACTCGTATTTCCCAAGTAACACATTGCATCACGGCTCCACCGCGCATCACTACCCAGGGCTGCCTCTCCAAACCCAGCAAAAGCCATATCCCAGATGCAGACACCCCAGCATAGGCAGGGGCCGTGCAGCAGAGTGGGGCTCCCTGGTCCTCCTGCATGTGGGACCCAGCCAGCAACCTGTGCATGAGCTGGGCTTGGGGACGCCCAGGAGGGAGATGCTCCTACTCGGCATCCCTTTGGAATGGCTGGTCCCTGGGAAGCAGCAGCTGAGAGAGGCGACTCACCATAGTCTTTCTTACAGTACTTCTTCATGTTGATCTTCAGTTTCCCCTTGGAGGCTTTGCAGTATGAGTCACAATCTGCACGGGGAGAGGGGGAGGGCAAGAAAACATTAACAAAACAAATTAGCCTTAAAATGAATAAAAGGCTGGGGAGAGGGGGTGGACAGCTCAAAGCTGCAGCCTGCCATGAATAAGCAGCGTGCCCGTGATATCCATCTGCCAGGCCCCGATTGGGTCGTCTAAGGGGGCATTCAGAGAAACCTTCCTTTCTAAAGAAAGCTTCTCACAAAGGAAACCATCCTCCCGCCCTCCTCCCCCAGCCCAGCTTCCCTGGGCCGCCTCTGTCTTCCTGGGAGACCCTGGGGGCCTCCCTTATTGTGCCACCCAGAGCTTTTGAGAGCCACACAAATTCCCCCTGTTCTTCAGCTCCCAACTGGAGACTGCCCGGAGCCCACAGAGGCCCCATTGTCACCCCTAACCCGGGCCGGTGTCAGCCTTTGGCATTCATTGCCGAGAGATTCGGGCTGGGGTCACCTTCCGACAATGCAGGTCAGAGAGGAAATTAGCAGCCCATGAAGCATTAGCAAAGCCTTTTGGTGTCCACTCTACTGAAGTGTGCAAATAAAATATCTCAGTAGGAACATTTCATTTCTAATGGGCCCCCACTGCTGGGACATGTTGGCTGTGTCCCGGTGGTGCAGCGGGCAGGCGGGAATGCTGGAACGCTGGCACGGCCGCCTGGCAGCAGCGCCACGGGGCTGGAGCCGGGCCATGGTCCCAAATGGCCGTAGGATGCTGAGCCCTGCTCCAGCAGCTGCTGCTCCCCGGGACCTGATCCCATGTGGGATGAAGCTGGATGGCATCAGGCGGCGGCACCACAGTCAGGCAGTGCCGCAGTGCAACAGTGCCTGGACATGTGCCACCCCATGCCAGCTCCTACAACCAGGGCTGGCTCACAGACATGCTGTCCATGCACATCCCTACATGTGGATGTGCATGGGACCCATGGATGCTAAGAAGCCCCCAGCACCACAGAAAACCCACATCTGTCTGCAGCAGGAGGCCTTGGTACAGCGATAGTCCTTGAACATCTCCACCTCTCCCCAGTGCCCATTGTTCCTCCACAGCCACCTTTGGAGACCAGGACTGAAAACCTGCTGAAATGCCCCAGCAGTGCTGCAGGGCTCTGTGTGCAGGGTGGGATGCTGCAGAGGTGTGGGACACTGCTGACACCCCACAGCCAGCAGACACAGGGTGCCCATGTCCTGCTCCAGGCCACACTGGCAGTGCCAGACCAGACCCACACTTGCCTGTGCAACACCCCACATTCTCCAGTGGACCATGACCTGAAGCCCTGGGGGAGAAGCTGTGAAATATTCCCCTCTGTGTCCCCCTTTAGTGTGGCTGTGGCACACACAAGGGTGGCATCTGCCACAGCTTCAGCAGAGCTTGAGGACCCATTTCCTGTGTACTTCTTTCTTATATATAAGAGCCCTTGCAAGAAGCAGTTCCTTCTGAGAGAAGCTGTCTGGGAAGGGAAACTGAGGCAGAGTTGGGAGGTGGTTGCACAGCTGCAGCATTCCCTGATCATGCTCTGGTTGCAGCTCTGCACAGGGGCTGTGGTGTGAAGTCAGCTTTGGGATAGGGCCATGCTGGAGGAGGTGATCTCCAGTCCAGAGCCAGTCCAGGTAAGGAGGGCACAAGTGTCTGGGTGCACTGGGAGTTCTGTACCCTCTCAGCTCACCATCCTCACTACAGGAGGTGACCCTGGGGTGGGTTCAGAAACATGGAGAGATGCTCCAGGAGGTCTCATGGGCCCCAAATCCAACCCTCCCCATTAGCAGCAGAGCCAAGCAGCAGCTTCTTTTTCAGCTTGAGTGGGGAAACCAACAAGAAAAGGAAACCCAGAGGCTGAACACCCACATCCCAAGATTATCAGGTACCACCTCATAACAGCAGCTCTGATCCATGCGTGCCCCAGCCCATCTCAGCCTGGCCAGAGCCATCTCATCTCAGCACCATCCTCCTGCCCCATTAGTGCCTGCTGCTCCCATCCTCAGGAGACCACCCATAGTAATATGTGGCTTCACATTCTTTCAGTATGACCCAGCAAGGGCCAGAAATGAAAGCTGTGATATGAAGAGGAGCGCCTTCCTCCTCTAAGAGTCCCAGCTAAGATCTCTGCCCAGCTACAATCCAGCCAAAGCCCTTAGAAATCCAGGAGCTGAGCTAATGACTGAGGGGCAGCTGATGCCTCCCCTTTGCTTTTCTCATCGAACACAACTCTGAACATGAAGTAAAACTTGAAATGCACTGAGAAAAGAGCAGCAGTTCCATAAAAACTGTAGTTCAGATGATGGAGATCCGCTAGCAAAGTCCCAGCGTGCCTATATGGCATGATACCACCATATAGTGCAGTGTGACTGCTTGGTGTCACTGAGCCCAGGGAACAGAACTATTCCTGATTCAACTAACTGGTAAGATGTTCCTGGCCATAAACATCGAAGGAGCAGTGTACAAGGGAGACAGAGGTGCATGCAGGGACTTAACAGCCCAGGGATGCTTTCCCTCATTTGCTTGGTGCAGAGAGGCTGATGGGCTGCTCTACCCGGCAGCTGGCATGACTCTGCCCAACCTCAGGCTGCCGATGCTTTCAGGACACTGATGTGGTTATGATAAACACGATGATGGTTCTCCTCTGGCACAAACATCCTGAGCTCTGTAGGTATTTATCACTGCTGTCACATCCCACCCCCTGTGCAATAGCTGATCTGCAGGAAAGGCTGGAACAAGATGGGCAGGCAGGGAGCAACCAACTGAGCAGGGACAGTGCTCAGGAGATGTGGCTGGAGACCTCTGCTCCCCTGCCCAAATCTACATCAGGTAAACAGATGTGGTGAGCAGCTGGCTCTGAGCACTAGTGATGGGCAGGGGTGGGCACCAGCCCCAGGATCTGTGAGGAGGCCTCTGCCAGCCAGGCTGCGGAGCCCACCAAGAACAGATCTTCCCCCAGCCCCTCAAAATAGCAACCAAATAGAAAACATTGCTCAGGACTTCAGTTCAGACCACTCACAAGAGCAACCCTGAGCCTCTTCAGCAACCTCTCCCCACAGAAACATCCTCAACCACATCTGAGCTTCCCAACCTTTACACTACCGCCATGACATTTCCACTCTTCCTGAGATTACAGACCTAGAAACCCAGCGCTGTTTGCCAGCCAGGGAGGCTGTGGGGTGATGTGGCACCAATCATGATGATGGTTCTCATCTCTTGCCCCCAGGACAGCTCCCCTGCCCCCAGAGTGCAAGCCTGGAACCAGGTTTGCAGGTCAGGACACCCAGCTACAGCCCAGGCCTGACCCTGCTTCTGTAACACAAGGCTTGCTCTGCCCTCCCTTTCTCCTTCTCTTTCTCCCAAGCCCACAGGCTGTGCCAGAGCCTCAGCTGGTTTAAATTGAACTTGCTGTGGTCAGAGCCAGCTGGTGTAGATCAGTGTAAATCACCAGATGCCAGGGCTGATTTACATGGGTGGGGGATTTGCCCTGGTTCATTTCCTTTGTCTTTACGTGGAGAGCTCTTCTGCCTCTTGGGGGACTTGGAGACCCTCCAGGGCCTCTTTGGGAGGGCAAACGAAATTTCTCAGGGCAAAGTACTGATTGAGCTCGAGTTTGCTGCTGAGCAGCGCTGCATCTGTGGGGTGATGGTGCTGCAAGAGCACTGCTGGCTTAGGGAAAGTGTGTGGAGGGAGTTTTATGGAATATGATTTTAATGCTGCCTAGAAAGGACCCTGCTCTTGTCCATCAAGTGATATTTCAGCAGTTTAGGGTCTAGGGGAAGGTTTGCTGAGCTGCCGGTCCCCTGATGGAAGGTGACAGGGGGAAGCCAAGCTTAAAGACTGGGGAAGGGATGCAAGGAAGGGGTAGCAGGCTGAAATGAGAGGAGAGGATTGAGTTGGATCCTCAAGTCTTCTAAGTGCTGTTTCAGTGACTTCTTGTGCAGGAGATACATAATGTGGTGTGAGACTTGCAGAATTCGTCTTTAAATGCTTCTGCTACAAAACTATGGAGTCCTAAGACACATGTTGTTTGTCCTGACTGCAGGAGGCTACCTGTCCCACAGGTCCCTTGTGCCCAGCTCCGGGAGGCTGCAGAGGATCAGCCTGGAATAACCTGCTCTTGGAAGAACTGTCAGAGTCTGACCAAAAGGCCAAGCTGAGAATAAAAGTCGTCTGCCTGAGGAATTGAAGCCTGCTCTTGGGATGGGGAACAACCTGGTACTTGAAGCGAGGGATGGTAAGTTTCTAGGTCTTGTTTGCCCAGGTCCTATAGGCGTAATGGGGCGGACACTACTTGGCTCTGCCCTAAAGGACTGGTGGATGGGGTCAGCTCCAGCTGCTCTCTGCCCTATCCTGTGGTGCACAGATGTCCCTTGCATGTGGGGGTGCAGAACAAGGATCGGTCCTCATGCCAGAGATGTCCTGCCCTGTGCCTCTCAGCCTACCCGGCCCCAGGCAGGGCTTGCCTGCTTTGAACAGACCCTGGAACCTCTCCAAGTCCCTCCTAGCCTGCATTTGGCCTGGCCATTCCACTTCTGAAGGACTTAAACACCCCTGGCTACAGCACCATGGTGCAGGAGGAACTGAGTGGTGATAACCAAACACCCTCCTCCCCTGCTCCCAGCGCTTTCCTCCCTGCATTTGCTCAGCTGCGCAAATGTTTTGGTGCAAATCCCCACTTCAGAGATGCAAACTCAAAGCCCGACCAGACCCTGGTGCTTTCTTGTTTCATCACCACATCCTGAGGTGCCGTGGGCCGCAGTGGGGACATCCCACACCTCCCCGCTGGGTCCCCTGGGCTGGGAGTGAGCAGCCGCTTCCAGCAGATAAAGCACAAACTTTGTGCATATCCCAGATACACGGAGCGGGAGGATCCAGGAAGAGGCGTTTGGAGCTGCTTGTTCACAAGGGCCAGGAGCAGGTGGCGGGCAGCTGTTTTGTGTCCGTCGCAGCTTAGTAGAATGTGTCAGCATCACATTCAGCAGCTTTGCAGCTCTGCCTGTCCCCTTGATATAACTAATTCT